ACCTCCCCTTTCTAGGACACGGTGTCCTGAAGACCCATCCTCAGTTGAAATCCAGTAACAGAGCTTCAAGACTCATCAGAACTGTTAGAAGATGAACGCAAGCACATTGAAACTGTGAAGAGTTTATTTGGCAAACAAAATGACAGTTCATTAGTGGAGCATCGGTGGTCTGTCAAAAGTTCTGGGCCCCCTGAAGGGTAATGGCTTTTATGGATGGAATGTGTAAGGAAGGCAAAGAAAATATCGAGTGCTATGTTGAGGAGAAGTAGTCTTCTTAGAGCGTCCCAATGGAAAGTCCCTAGTTAGAAGTGAGCAGTTTCTGGGTTCGACTTACATTTTGATTTCCTAGATGTGACTGTTTACATTGAGCTGGGCTGTGGTCACTTATGTAGGAGACCAGGCCTCTGGAGCCGGCTCGTTCTGATGGGCTCCCAGGTAACTCCTCAGCCAGGCCTTCCCAGGCAATGCCATGCAGTCTGGCCCCAGTCCCGTGGCTGTATGCCAGTGTTGTAAAGTAATCATTAGGGCTCCCGTGGTGTGGTGGAGTTTGCTTGGATAGAGGGAAGAAGGCACAATGGCCAAATGAGGTTGCTTTGCAAGTAGAAATCTTTCTGCCCATCTTGGAGTCTAGAGAAGCTTTTTATGCTACAGCCATGTCACCATCATCCCTCCACCCCACCAGGAACGAAACAAAACCAAACCAAAGAAAAAGCATTGAGCTCACGTGGATTTTTATATTCGAGGTGTCTCACTAACTAAAGCCTGACTTGCATCTGCTTTGGAGGCAGAAGAAAAAGAAAAGAGAGGTAAGATGAAGTCGCTGGTGCAACTTCTTGACAGCACTAACTTTTGCATGAGAAGTGTGGTTAGAGCTCAGAATTTCAGGACCACAGTGCAGGCTGACACTCACCAAGCAGGTCCCAGTGGCAGGAGGAGAGTGGCCCCGAGACAGCAGGGAGGTGTCTGCGCCATTGTTAAACAAAGCAGAGAGGCAGAGGTGCAGCAAAGGGAAAGCAGCATTCAGGAGGAGGCTTTTCCTGGAGTGTGCAGACCCAGCTACTCCGCAGTCTGTGACCCGGGCACTCGGAAGCGCTATGGTCAGTTTCCATGAATTCTTTCCTGAAGGACTGTGAGCCTTTTGTATGCTGATGTGTGTCACCAGTCTCCAGGCGAGGAAATGGCACATGCAGTGTTTCCCAAAATCCCCTCAGCGTGGAACTTGTGGGTCACCCTTCAGGACTGTTTTCCCACGGAGTACACTTTCAGAAATGTGCTAGTAATAATGTGACAATGAAAACTGCAGGCGTATACTGTGTGCCAGACATGGACACTGCTTTGTGGATTCCATCTCATTTTATTCTCTCAACTCACTACACCTAAATGCTGCTTTTATTTCCATATTGCAGATGGGGAAACGGAGTCTCAGCTTGAGTCATTTACCTCAAAAGTGGCAGAGCCAGGATCTGATTCCAAAAGGGACCACATCAATGATTTATCCCTAAGTAGGGGGTTTTGAGCCGAGTCTCACATACACAACTGTGACCATTTATGTAGCACTGTGTGTTAATCACTTTTCACAAGAAGATGTTTTCATTGCTGTAAGTATTCCCGTTATTATAATGACCCTGGTCCTCATGAATAGGACGTAATAACTCAAAGCATTTCCGAGTTCCTGGTGGGATTTTACAGTGATGTGTGTTAGCACTGGGCCCTAGGAATGGCAAGTTACTTGGAGGATCGCTTGTATCCATGTTGTGTTCTATGCATTTATAATGGCAGAAAAACTGCTCAGCACTTTTCTCCCACAGGTCTACCTCGTTTAGGCTGTAATTGGAGAGGGATTAATTTATGCTAATTCTGCACAACAAGCTGACGCCATTTATCACCAGTTTCCATTCCTCAGCAAAACAGACACAAATGCACCTAAGTGTTAGGCAGACTAAGATATGCAGCTGCTGTTGTGTGGAGCAATAATAGACCTGTTTGTGTTCAGGCACAGGTCAGCAAGCCGAAGCCATGCGGGAATGCGGAGGGCTGTGGCTCTCAGTCTCTCCCTGCTGGTGTCTTCCATGCCCTGCTGCCCACCTCCGAGAAGAGAAGGACGTGGCAGGGCAGAGCTGGGCAGTGGGAAGGATGATGCATAACACGGAAGGAGCCCTGCTTCCCTGGAAGACTGTGTTGATTATCCCATGGTGTTGAGGCAGCTTTTTAAGAAGGATAATGTGAGTGTGGAAGATTTAGGATTGAAAGAGCTGCCTTGTGATGAGAAGAGAGATGGGAGAAGAAGCGGGCAGAAGGGACACCGAGTGTGTGGGTGTGTGTGGATATGTGTGTTTGGTTGGCGTTACTGAGAACCTGGCCAGGGTGATTTCCCCTTCAAATTTCCCAGTATCGCCAATGCTGCCCCTCTAAGGGAGCCCTGCATCGCTCTGGCTTGCACGGCCCACCGTGCTGTTCTGGTTGCACTGCAAGAGTCAGGGAGGGCTGAGAGGCTTCGCGCATTCCTCCCCCCCCCGCCCGGGCCACACGGCCCCTCTCCCATCCTTCTGGAGTGGGGGTCTGCGTCAGAAGATGGCCTTTAAAATACCTTCTTATTCTTTCATGTCATGACGGTGCGGTGGCCTTGGAGAGAAAGAGCAATTTTACCTCTTAGGATTACAGAGGATACAATTCTGTGTTACCTGAGTTTGCTTCAGAGAATCCAGTGGAAGGGGTTGTGGGAATTAGAGGGGACAGAGAGGAAGCAAGTCTGGCTGTCAGCGAGGCTGAACAGTGAGCAAATGAGGCGTCATTTAGTTCCTCTGTTTCTTCCCTCCCTTCCCCTCCCATTCCCCTTCCTCCTCTTCCTCCCTCTCTCTCCCTCTCTCCCGCCCTCCCCCTCTCTCTATATGTACATATATGTATATGTGCATGGATACAATCTAAATTTAAGTGTCTGCAGTAGGATTCCATGTGCTCTTCAAAATATCTCAGCTTGTGTCTCCTGTTAATATTTTAAATTTCTGATTATCCCTCACAGGTTGAATCTACCGAAAATGTGACTGTTTGTGCGTGCTGTGTGTATATGCATGGATGTGTGTGTGTGTGTGTGCGTGCAAGTAATTTGCATTCCAGTTTACTAGTTCCAAGGCCGTCAGAATGCCATTACCCAATGAAAAAGTCAGTTTTGATCGGCATCATGGAGATCATAGTCCCTGCTTTCTGTTTGTGAAAAACTCAATTGAGATAATGTCTGGGAATGTGGAAGGTGCTCTGTCCCTCAATGACATCCTGCCGATTGCTGTCTGAGCACTGATGTGGTCCTCACACTATTGATGCCACCAACGGCTTTGTTTCCTTAGTTCAGATGAGAAGTACATTTGCCTGGCACCTCTCCCCTCCCTCTCCACAGGTGGATGCTGCACAGGCAAGAGAGCATAGCGAGGTTTCCTTACCCTCAGCGCTCCCCTAAAGCTGGCTGGTTCTGCTACACTGAAGAAGCCTGTTTTCTGAGAAAGGACCCCGCGCTTCCATTTTGCACCAAAATGTTGTGGTTATCTGAAGTACACCTTACAGTGGTGGCCACCGAGCGGCAGGGCTGTAACCGCACATACCAGACAGAGCAGATAGCAACAAGTCTTGTCTGAGACCATCAAAATCACAGTCACTTGTTCTGGAACCTCTTTACCTGAATGAGCAGGATGTTGCCCTCTCGGCTCTCAACAGAGATAAGCCATAGAAAACAAGCTGTAGAAGTCACCTGCATTTATGGTATCAGACTTTGCTTAAATTGATGGAAGGTAAAGGTCAGCATCCCGGCTGACACAGGGTACACTGGAATTTTTTATTTTAGGCTTGAGCTATGCCATATTTGCAAAATGTCGCTTTTTGAGAGGGTAGAAATTAATCGTAAACAAAGTCATTATAGGTACAACAGTTTTGAGCCTGAAATAGAAGAAGACCTGGAGGTGGAAAGAGACATTTCCCACTCCACACTGTAAGAGGAAACCCGGGGAGAGTCTTGTGTGCAGATTCTCTGTTTTGTCTGCGGGAAGTCAGTGTGCTGGAGAGATGAGCTGTGAAGATGTGGGCTGAGAGGACTTCGGGAATTTGTGGAGTGCTTTGTATGGGACACCTCAACGCCAGCATCTGGGTGGTTCCCCTTGCATAATATGCACTTAGCCATGCGTTCTCTGTGTCCAAAACCATAAGCCTGCCTCACCGCTGACTAGATCTTTCTCTCAGAATGGCTAGGGTAGTTGTGGGGTTGGATAATTCACAGAAATATAGTGATTGATGATTGATGGTTTTCTGCTTTGCTTAGTGGGAAAAAGAGCACAAGAATGTTTAATAATTAGTATTAATTATTACAAATACAAGTGGTCCCTTATGACGGTCGGACTTGAGAATGTGCGATTTGCAGTCATGTAGAGGTTTAAACATATAACCGCTCTTTCATTCACTTTCAGTGCCTCGTCTGGTGAAATTTGTCAGGTATTCAACATTACTATGAAGTAGGCTTTGTTTAGATGATTTTTTTCCTGCTGAGGCTGGTGTCAGCATTCGGAACGCATTATGATGGTTTAGGCTGCCCTGTGATGACTGATAGGTTAAGTGTATTAAGGGCACTTTTGACTTAGAATGCTTTGAACTTACAAGGAGTGTATCAGGGTGTGACCCCATCCTAGGTCAAGGAGCATTGCTACTGACAGCAAAACCAGTGGAAATAAAAGCTAACTGGTAGCTGGGCTAATAGTGAGATATGGTCACTCATTCAGCCCTCGCAGCCATCTAGTGGAGTGGGTACTCTTGTTCTCGTGTAGCCATGGTGGGCACATGAAGGTGGGGTAACTTAGTCCAGGTCACAGAGGCAACAAGTGGTAGAGTGGGTCTGGAAGCCGTGAGCCTGAGTCCAGAGCCTGTGCTTTTCATTGCCCCGCTGATGTGCAGGACCCAGCCAGCCTGCCGAGGAACGCCTGAGTCCCTGCTTGTGATGCTGCCTCATTTCCCTCCCTCCACAGCCCCCCTGGTGGACCTCACCCCGACCCACAGTGGATCCGCCATGCTGATGCTGCTCTCCGTGGTGTTCGTGGGCCTGGCTGTGTTCGTCATCTACAAGTTTAAGAGGTGTGTGTCCCTCCCTCCATGGTTCCCCGCTTCTCCCTGTTCTGACAGGTTCAGAAGTGCACATCTGCACTGCTGTGCTTTTCCGTGCAGAGCAGTGATGCTTTCTGTTAATGTTTTAGGAAGATCCCGGGAATTAATGTTTATGCCCAGATGCAGAATGAGAAGGAACAAGAGATGCTCAGTCCAGGCAGTCACACTGAAAGCAGGCCCGGTGTCCCTCACACTGAACTGAGGAGGCCTGGTCAGCTTGTAGATGAGAAGGTGCAGCCACAGCTCATAGGTAAATGATTTGGTAGCCTTCAGACGTCCAGCCTGAGTAGTCCTTGGCAGACTCCTCTCTAACCCGTCTGGCTTGACATAACTATTTTTTCTGCTCTAACACCTCTGCAGAAACAGCTAAGATACCTCTTTCTTGCTCCTAATATTTTACCCTCTCATTAATTGATTCCTCTTTTTGCAAAAAACTTTCCCTAAAACGCTGGCTTCGAGTGTTGATGAACAAGTAGCTTAGATTTTGCTCTAACAACATATAAGAGGGAGGCTTTTGGAGGCTGGGGCTGGTGGGCTGGCAGCTGGGCAGGGTTTGAACTGCTGTGTGTGTGCTGAGCAGAATGAGACGTGGAAGGCCCAGCTCCTGGCAGACCTGAAGAGGGGAGAGTGCTCTGCAACCCTCACAGGGGAGGCACATGATGAAATTGGCCAGGCAAACCACCTGAGCGTTTTTATTCAAAATCTAGCCACTGTCTAGCAGCTGACCCCCAGGAAATGTGGAACCTGAGGACTTGAGAACAAGAGGCACCAAGTTGGCAGCAGCTGTAGATGCAGGGTCCTGAGAACTGGTGGTGGGGTCTGACTCTGATGGAACGGTGGGCAGATGCTGTCCTCCTCTTTGGCTGCCTCTTACCCAAAGTCCTGAAACGGACTTTGTCAGACTTTAATAGACCTCTCCTCCCCCATGAAGTAAATTTGGGAATTCTACACCTAGGTATACAATCTGAAGTTTGGATCCTAAGTCCTATTTATAGCAGAGGAAATTGTCCAGGATTTTAGGCAAACCCATGGAGCTGCCCTTGCTGATCCATGTCTGTCCTAGGCTCCTCCAGCCTGTTGGCTACAGGGGATGAAGCTGTGGACATGTACATCTAGATCCCACGTTGCTCACTGTGGTGGGTAAATGATAAAATCGTTCACGCTTCCCCTGCAGTTATGATGCCAGGCTGCCTAGAACACCTTTCCACAAAATTTTTAATTTGTTAGTCAGAAAACAAATGAGTCTATAAATGGGAATCAAACCCTGTCCTTAAATGAAGAAGAGAAAGGTTTGTGGCTGCAGGAAGGGGAAACTTAAATGCGAAAACTGACTTATATCATAGATAGCAATAACAGCTGCAGCCACATCTGGTGTCCAATTTTCACAGTGCATTTTCTTTTCTTGGGGGAGACAGGGCGATAAATAAGTAATAGCTTTGGGTTAAAAAGGAAACAGGCTTTTCTGTCTTCATGTCCAGAGAAGCATTCACCCTGTCTATTCACTTCTAAAGTGTTGAAGATGCTGCGTTTTTTGAGTCATTTGATTTTCGGTCCCGTTTCCCGGGGTACGAAGCATAGCGGCTACTTACTTATTAAAGTAGCAATTCCTCCTTCACCAGGAACATCTCGAAGTACGTTACCGTCTCTGACACCTTTCCATTTCCAGTGTCATTAAATGAGTAAGTGTCACACGTTTTCTCTTAGGAGAGTAGCTTTACCCTCCCCTCCTTCCCCTTCTACTCAACCTGGTGACTCATCTCTCCGATTGCAAAGAGCAAGACACGCCACTCCACCTTCAACGCCAAAGCGGGGACCTGCTGGGGCACAATTTGCAATTTAAGGAGAACCCCAAAGGCTGCAGGCGACCTGCCAATCAGTCGGGAAAGAGTTTCGCAATTGTCAAGTGCATCATCCTCATGACCACTAACTTTATGTTTTTTTTTCTTTCCTTTGTTGTTCTGTTTCCTATTTTGCCAGGAAGTATTTCCATAGTTGCTGAGAATCAAAGCACAAAAGAAATCCCTACCTATGTAAATGTTTGAATGGAGGACGCCAGTAAAAACAAACAAAACAAAAAATAAAATAAAAAAACAAAATCCAAACAAACAAACAAACATTCACTGCATCGGGACTTTTTAATTCTTCAGACACAGACTGCAAGGGTTTTTAGCTTTAAGCCTGTGCATGTGGACACTAACTTGAGAACATGTTTGGAGGGGCAGTATACAGGTGCTCTATTTTAATGGAAAACACTCCTCTCTCCCTTTCTTCTCTTTTTTCTGATCAGTCGTGTTTGTAGAAAATTCATAACATATATAGGCCAAGGAAATCTGCATGCATTTTTGGAAATATTCTTGGCTCTAGATTTAACAGTTATTTTAGCACTGCAGGCTGAGGGGTGGATTAGCCATCCCCGGCCTTTCCATAAGACATGCACAGGAGTCTGAAACCCTGAGCCGTTTCTCCGTTCCACCATCCTTAGGGTCATTTTCCCTTCTAACTTAGCTTTGGAAGCCCTGTTTGTCAGCAGTGGCCACAGGCTGATCTCTCTCTACATTCTCTGTGGCCGCAGGGACAAAGTTGTGAGTTGAAGATCCGTGTATGAGGTACAACAGGGAGGGAAGACAGCAGGGAAACAGCATGTCAGCAATGGACTGTTGTTTCCCATCCAACTTTCCTCCTTGCAGTTTTCCTTACTCTTATCCCACATGATGTAGAAAACGGTATTTTTCCAGTAGTTAACCATTGTTTTCCCTTCCCTTTGGCTTGCCATTCGTGCGTGGCCATGATCTGTTGATGTCTTCAAATCTTTTTCCTCCAATCCCCAAGTTATCCCTCAAGTGTTGCGACTTTTTCTTCCCAAACATGTTGCTAGATTTACAACATGGACGCTGACATTTGCTAAGTACTGGCCTAGCTTCTGCCAACCCTGACCTTCCACTCACAAGTCTTGATCGCTGTCAGTTCTGTACACGGCCAAGCATGCCAGACTCCCTGCACTCTGACCAAACTGCATCCTGCCCAGCAGGGATCAGTTCCATGGACCCTCTGTCTTCCTCTAGAGCTGACTTTCCCAATTACCCCTACCTTTTCCCACCTGGAAACATTCAGTGTGTGTGAAAGTTGACATGTGCAAAGCAACGCAAATCCGGCTATGTACTTTGGCATACAGATCAATAGCAGTGTTCTCACACATTAACAAAAATTCTGTGCCATCAGATTCTGGAAGACTTGTGAGATACGTTATGAATGTATAACAATATTGCAGGGGAATTTCTTTCTGTGATAGTTGCTGTTGCCCAATATTCCTCTCTTAGCGTAGACGAAAAATATTTGTGAAATAAAACTGATTTTAACAGGAGAAGCAGGTCAATGGAGTTAATGTTTGAGTGTCCAAAAATCTGAGAAAATAGGTCTTGTCTTACATTAGGATGAGATTTTGATTATTTAGGGTGATCCCAGTGATTTCACAGGTGCTCTCTGGTCTCTGAGTATCATGGTATCAGTAAAGGAAAAGTAAGTCGGTATGAATTGGAGGAATTAGCTAACGACAGGAAAGTGAAAGAAATCCTCACAATCCTCAAGTCCTCCAAGCGTGACACAATCCCAGTTTGCCAAGTGCAGTCAGGAAAGAAGGAAAGAAAACCTGTCTGCTACTGAAGCCCCTTCAGTACGATTCCTGGGCAAAGCCCACTCTAAGGGCAGAAGAGAGGAGTGCTGTTTGACAACTCAGAAAAACCCACCTTCGTGGCTGTGTCTCCAGGCCACCGACAGGTGTAAGAGGGGCTGTAAATGAGGACGTCCAGACCATCCTGATGCCCCTTACCCTTGTGTAGCTCAGGCAGGGGAAGTGTAGAAAAGCTGCTGTCAGAAGTTAGTCCCAGAGAATGTTTTATGGAGGAGGACGCCCCACCCCCAGGAGGGTGGAAAACTCTGCTTGGGGCAACCGTCTCTTTGTAGGACATCACTAATCCCCATCCTGCCGGGCTTCCTGTCTCATGGAGAACATCTTCGTTGATTCTCTTTAATTGGAGCCTTGCAATTTTACTCTGGAAGACATGTGTTTAGAAATCAAAAGAGGCTTACAAAAGAAAGCAGGGGGTCCTCAGAGTTGCGGTTCAATTCATTTTAATTAGAAAATTATGAAAAAGAGAATAACATTCTTAATCTAGCACAGTGCCTTGCCAAGAGTGGTGTTACGAAAACTGACAGTGAACTAAATGCGTGAACAGATGTAGGGAAGAACGGCTGTACATCCTCGGGTAAAGCAGAGGTAGACATGAGATCCCTGGCATTTTAGAAAATGATCAGAGGTGACCAGACATGGATTCAGCATCTCCAGTGTCCTCCTGTGCCTCTCCTCAAAGTTCCCTCCCACTGTGGGTGACAGATGAGGCCGGTACTTACTGCTGAGAAGGACCCTCATAGATACTACAGCCTTGACTAGGTTCTCAAAGTGTGGTACTAGGCCAGCAGTCCCAGCATCACCTGCAAATCCTGGGTCTGTACCCAGACCTACTGAGTCACTATTGCTAGGCAGTAGTGGACCCAGCAGCCTGCTTCAGCCAATCCTCCAGGTGATTGTGATGTATGCTGAAGCCCAGAGCCACCAGACGATGCCATTCCAACTCAGTCCCCGAAAGAAAATAATGAGCGCCTACAAATGGGAGGGACTCAAGTGCCTACCTACTTGCTAATAGCTAATACTTGCAAACACAGTGAGGAGTTTGGTGGGCGCAGGGCCAGAGGAGTGTGGGGAGGGAGATTATGTGAAAGGCATATTCAGGGCAAGCGGAAAATCAAATACTGCAACATTTTTAAAACCCCAGATGGCCAACTGTGCGTGCTGTACCCTGAACTACCCAACCAGCCTTTTCTCCCTTGCTTTATTCCTAATTGGACTCACTGTCCAACATGCAGAGATTTGCTGTGCTTTTTCTCAGAAGTTCCAAACAGCAGCTTTGAGAGCCCTGGGGTGCTTGTCAGCCATTCTGTGTTTTCCAGGATTCCAACTGAGCACTGAAACCCCTCATTTGCCAACTTATTTTTCTAGAAAGCCAATTTAAAAACAATGGAAGTTTTCTTATAGTACTGGAACTACTTCTAATTTTAAAATGACTTTTTGATGTATTTTTTGTTAAATACTATGTAGTGTAATGTATAATTGCTCTTGTTTATTGCTTTTACAATCATATTTATTAAACAGATAATGTCTCTAAAGTCTTTGCCTCAGGGGGTTTTATTTTATCCCAAAACTTTGTGTTCACTCTAGGTGTAAAAGTAATGGATTTACAGGATTTCATAAAGGCTAATTGCTTGAGAATATGGTTACCCTCCCTGGCTTGAGGGCTTTTATTTACCAACCTAGTAGAGTATGTTCTATAACCTGAATTCTACCTGCATTTCAGTTGACTGTGTAGCGTCTGTCGCTTTATTAGATTACACCAGGCCATTTAAGACTCAGTGATTACTTTTGAGTGCGTAACATGCTCATTGTTATCAGTTCAAAGTTATAAATCGCGAGGAGCAGGCAAGCCCCTTGACACTTCTGCATAATGTCATAGTTACCAGAGGGCCAAGTCTGCATGTGAGGAGTGGAAACTTGGAGCGTGCTGAGCCCCAGACGTAGACCAGGAAGAAGTGAAGCGGGGTCCCCCTGGCTACACCAGCTGTGTGACCTTAACAACTCTCCCAACCCACAGAAGCCGCAGTATCTTCGTGTGCAGCACACGGAGGAAGAAGCCCCGCGGCCCTGGTGTTCTGAGTGGGTGGCTCAAACAGACAATTTATCACTTAGTGGGATGAAGACGTGGATGGATCCAAACCTGTCCAGCCACTGAGTGGGACCTCCCAGGGCCCGTTTGGTCCTTGTGTCTGGGAGAAACATCAGTGCGGGCACAAGACCCTCTTTAGCTGTCCTGAAGGCCCAGCAGGGTGGGAATGCGGGTGCCTGTTGAGTTTGGTCCACACTTCAGCAGTCTCCCTAGGGCAAAGACGCTCAGCCAGTAGGAGGCGCTCCTCCCCTGGGGCTTTTTTCACACACAGAGAACAACAAACGCATAGAACTTAACATCACCGTATGGATGTGTGGCACTCTGTACCTTCCTTGCTGGATTCAAGGCTAATTTACGGGAAGGTATTTTATTGCACCTTATTTTCATTCCTCTAGCATCCAGCACTGGGCATTGCCATTAGGGGGCACTAGATAAATGTTTGATGAGACTCAACCCTTGCTTCCCCTTTTAATATTGTGAGCTGGTCTATTTTATTTAGCAGTGATCTCTGAGCGGGCTCCACGGGTCAGGCTTGACCCAGCCAGCACCTCTAATTACACGTCCAATTGCTGTTTGCCGAGAATCCACACCTTCCTGCCCTTCTCTTCTCTTACCACTACAGTTGCCGTACACAGGGAGCTATTCTTGGATATTAATTTAAGTGAAATAATTGCAGTTTAGAAAAAAAAGGAAGGAAAAATACTGGCTAGAAGGTGGAATAAAAATCAGAGGGCTGTGTTTGGTTTCTGAACCATTATATAATTTGTTTACCAGTTCCTAAGGAGTGGAGAGGATTTTGAAAATGCATGTTTGGCTGGTGCTGGCACAGAGGGAAGATCCCCAAATGATTCCAGATGGATATAGACAGTGAAATGGGGGCTGTAAACTTTCAGTGTTAAATACACAAAAAAGAACCTGTGGTTTTAAAAATATAGGTATTTATTGACCTAGATGTAGCAAATACTGCAGTAGGTGGTGGTGACAGAGCTGCCAAAAAAGGCAGATAAAATATCTCCCTTTGTGGTGCATATATTCTCACGGGGATAATGAAAAATGATAGAATTTAATATGTGCCTGGCTGCCGTTCATATAAGATAATTTCAAGACACTGCAATGTAACAGTAAAACTTGATGAGCAGCAGAGTGACTTGGGATGGGAAGGGCCAAGGGAGGTCTTGGTCTTGGAAGCAAAAGTGTTGGATGAGAAGGAAACTTTCCAGATCGGCAGACTGAAGAGGGGCCAGGCTTTCGGAGCCACATGCACGGTCCCAGCATGTTTAAAGTCAGTCTTGGAAAACAAACAATTCTGAGCTCAAACAACAACCCTCGTTTCTGAGTTGAAGGGAAAATATGCCACATGTGGCACATGCCCAGATTTTTCCCCACAGAATCTTCTATACCGTCAGCTGTCCTAGTATATAACTCCTGTGTTCTGAAAAATCACCTCGCTGTGCAAAAGAGCATAATAAAAACACAAAGCTTAGGAAATCAAACAGGTGAGGCACAACCCACGAAACCTTCGCATGTCTCAGCATAATGTGAATCTGTACATATTACCAAAAAAGATACAAGCAGTCTTAAAATGGTAGCACAGTTTACACACATTAAATGGTGAAGAAATACACAAATAAAACATTTACTTGAAAAAGAACGGCACTGCGCTTGTAGAAGTGTGGGCTGGAATGAGCACAACTTGTGAACACTCGAATGGTGAAGAGGTGTCTGAACCCAGAAGCAGGCTGATAACACCACACATCCGCGGCCTGGAGCTCAGACCCAAGGTCAGTGAGGGCAGCTGCACATGTCTGCAAGGAGTGCATGCATGTACTATATGTACTTTTACACAACTAGTTTCAGCTGCGTACAGTTGTCTGAGTCCGCCTCGTGTTTTTCAGCAACACACCATGTGTAAGAAACAACCACATTTGAATTATCTTCAAATAATTCCTTAATATATCAATCATACTAAAGCAAATTTACATTTTCAAAAATGTAAGCTAGTAGAGCAGACTGATGCAGGTGGTAGATTAAAGTAGCTTGGGCAGACATACTGGAAGGGGGAAGAAGGGCTGTTTGCAGAAGGCAGAGGTGTGAAAGGAATCCGGTCCTCCTTGTGTTCAGCACTGTCTCAGCTCGAGGCACCAGCCCCCCCCCCTTTCCGTAGGCCTGGGAGCTGCAGAATGTCCCTGTCCCCTGCGTCTCCCATTCCAACAAGCAACCAAGAAACTCATACTGGAAACAGGACTGGAGCCCTGAGGATGGTATATTGTGTTCAGAACTCCCTAAAGAAGACTATGTGAACAGCACATGAGACACTTGATGGAAACTAAATCAGGTAAAGAAGGCTTTGAAATGTTTAACATTAGTTTCAAGTAATAACAATAAAACAATGTTGAGACATCTCAGTATAGGCATGAAATCTTGCAATTGTATTAACAGCTTGCAGAAGTCGAACAGTATTCAATAAACCATGTATAAGCTAGTTAATAAGAAATTAATATTTAAGCATAATAAAGCAGAAAGCTGACATTAAAATTCTTTGCAAAGAATATTTAATAACAGTAAAATTTAAAACTTTGCATGATAT